GGGGTGGGGACCCCCAGTGGGTGTTGGGATCCCCCAATGGGTGTTGGGACCCCATGGTGGACATTGGGACCCCCCAGTCGGTGTTGGGACCCTGTGGTGGGTGTTGGGACCCCGTGGTGGATATTGGGACCCCCAATGGGTGTTGAGACCCCATGGTGGACATTGGGACCCCCCAATGGGTGTTGGGACCCCTCAATGGGTTTTGGGACCCCATGGTGGGTTCTAGGACCCCTTGGTGGCCATTGAGACCCCTTGGTGGCCATTGAGACCCCATGATGGGTTCTAGGACTCCATGGTGGGATCTAGAACCCCATGGTGGCCGCTCTGACCCCATGGTGGCCACTGTGACCCTGTGGTGTGTTCTAGGACCCCATGGTGGCTGCTGTGACCCCCTGGTGGCCACTGTGACCCCATGGTGGGTTCTAGGACCCCGTGGTGGCCGCTGTGACCCCCTGGTGGGTTCTAGGACCCCTTGGTGGCCGTTGTGACCCCCTGGTGAGTTCTAGGACCCCGTGGTGGCACTCACAAGCAGCGGGGTCCCTGGCGGGTGACATGGCAGCGGCCGTGGTGGCAGTCCCAGCGAAGTCCCTGAGGTGGTCATGGTGGTCACTGGCGTGGGTGTGGTGGTCACTGGTGTGGTCTTGGAGGTCCCTGAGGTGGTTGTGGTTGTCTTAGGGGTGGTCGTGGTGGTCCCTGAGATGGTTGTGGTGGTCCCTAAGGTGGTCGTGGTGATACCAGAGGAGGTCATGGTGGCACCTGAGGTGGTTGCGGAAGTCCCTGATGTGGTCGTGGAGGTCCATGGGGTGGTCGTGGTGGTCTCTGAGGTGGTTGTGGAGGTCCCTAAGCTGGTCGTGGTGGCACTTGTGGTTGGGGTGGTCCCTGAGTAGCTTGGGGTGGTCTCGGATGTGGTGGTGGTGGCCCCTGATGTGGTTGTGGAGGTCCGTGGGGTGGTCGTGGTGGCCTCTGGGGTGCTCATGGAGGTCCCTGAGGTGGTCATGGTGGTCCATGAGGTGGCTGGGGTGGTCTCTGAGGTGGTTGGAGTGGACACTGGGGTGGTCGTGGGGGTCCATGAGGTGGTCATGGAGGTTGCTGAGGTGGTCGGTGCCAACTCTGGGGTGGTTGTGGAGGTTCCAGAGGTTGTGGAGGTCACTGAGGTGGTGGGGGTGGACTCTGAGGTGGTTGGAGTGGACACTGGGGTGGTCGTGGGGGTCCATGAGGTGGTCATGGAGGTTGCTGAGGTGGTTGGTGTCACCTCTGGGCTGGTTGTGGAGGTTCCTGAGGTTGTGGAGGGGGCTGAGGTGGTTGGAGTGGCCTCTGGGGTGGTTGTGGTGGTCCCTGATGTCGTGGAGGTCACTGAGGTGGTTGGGGTGGTCCCTGAGGTGGTTATGGATGTCACAGGGGTGGTCATGGTGGTCCCTGAGGTGGTCGTGGAAGTTCCTGAGGTGGTCATGGTGGATTCTGAGGTGGTTGGGGTGGTCTTAGGGGAGGTCGTGGTGGTCCCTGAGGTCGTGGAGGTCTCTGAGATGGTTGGAGTGGACTCTGGGGTGGTCTTGGTGGTCCCTGGAATGGTAGTGGTGGTCCCTGAGGTTGTGATGACCTCTGGGGTGGTCGTGGGTGTCCCTGAGGTGGTCATGGTGGTCCATGAGGTGGTTGTGGAGGTTCCTGAGGTCGTGGAGGTCTCTGAGATGGTTGGAGTGGCCACTGGGGTGGTCATGGTGGTCCCTGGGAAGGTGGTGGTGGTCTCTGCGGTGGTCGTGAAGGTTCCTGAGGTTGTTGAGGTCAATGAGGTGGTTGAGGTGGACTCTGGAGTGCTCGTGGTGGTCCCTGGGATGGTGGTGGTGGTCCCAGAGGAGGTTGGTGTGGTCTCTGATGTGGTCGTGGAGGTCACTGAGGTGGTTGAAGTGAACTCTGGGGTGGTCATGGTGGTCAATGAGGTGGTCGTGGAAGCTCCTGAGGTGGTCATGGTGGATTCTGAGGTGGTTGGGGTGGTCTTAGGAGAGGTCGTGGTGATCCCTGAGGTCGTGGGTGTCCCTGAGGTGGTCATGGTGGTCCCTGATGTGGTCGTGGAGGTTGCTGAGGTTGTGGAGGTCACTGAGGTGGTGGTGATGGACTCTGAGGTGGTCCTTGAGGTGGTTGTGGAGGTCCATGAGGTCGTGGAGGTCACTGAGGTGGTTGGGGTGGTCCCTGAGGTGGTTATGGATGTCACAGGGGTGGTCATGGTGGTCCCTGAGGTGGTCGTGGAAGTTCCTGAGGTGGTCATGGTGGATTCTGAGGTGGTTGGGGTGGTCTTAGGGGAGGTCGTGGTGGTCCCTGAGGTCGTGGAGGTCTCTGAGATGGTTGGAGTGGACTCTGGGGTGGTCTTGGTGGTCCCTGGAATGGTAGTGGTGGTCCCTGAGGTTGTGATGACCTCTGGGGTGGTCGTGGGTGTCCCTGAGGTGGTCATGGTGGTCCATGAGGTGGTTGTGGAGGTTCCTGAGGTCGTGGAGGTCTCTGAGATGGTTGGAGTGGCCACTGGGGTGGTCATGGTGGTCCCTGGGAAGGTGGTGGTGGTCTCTGCGGTGGTCGTGAAGGTTCCTGAGGTTGTTGAGGTCAATGAGGTGGTTGAGGTGGACTCTGGAGTGCTCGTGGTGGTCCCTGGGATGGTGGTGGTGGTCCCAGAGGAGGTTGGTGTGGTCTCTGATGTGGTCGTGGAGGTCACTGAGGTGGTTGAAGTGAACTCTGGGGTGGTCATGGTGGTCAATGAGGTGGTCGTGGAAGCTCCTGAGGTGGTCATGGTGGATTCTGAGGTGGTTGGGGTGGTCTTAGGAGAGGTCGTGGTGATCCCTGAGGTCGTGGGTGTCCCTGAGGTGGTCATGGTGGTCCCTGATGTGGTCGTGGAGGTTGCTGAGGTTGTGGAGGTCACTGAGGTGGTGGTGATGGACTCTGAGGTGGTCCTTGAGGTGGTTGTGGAGGTCCATGAGGTCGTGGAGGTCACTGAGGTGGTTGGGGTGGTCCCTGAGGTGGTTATGGATGTCACAGGGGTGGTCATGGTGGTCCCTGAGGTGGTCGTGGAAGTTCCTGAGGTGGTCATGGTGGATTCTGAGGTGGTTGGGGTGGTCTTAGGGGAGGTCGTGGTGGTCCCTGAGGTCGTGGAGGTCTCTGAGATGGTTGGAGTGGACTCTGGGGTGGTCTTGGTGGTCCCTGGAATGGTAGTGGTGGTCCCTGAGGTTGTGATGACCTCTGGGGTGGTCGTGGGTGTCCCTGAGGTGGTCATGGTGGTCCATGAGGTGGTTGTGGAGGTTCCTGAGGTCGTGGAGGTCTCTGAGATGGTTGGAGTGGCCACTGGGGTGGTCATGGTGGTCCCTGGGAAGGTGGTGGTGGTCTCTGCGGTGGTCGTGAAGGTTCCTGAGGTTGTTGAGGTCAATGAGGTGGTTGAGGTGGACTCTGGAGTGCTCGTGGTGGTCCCTGGGATGGTGGTGGTGGTCCCAGAGGAGGTTGGTGTGGTCTCTGATGTGGTCGTGGAGGTCACTGAGGTGGTTGAAGTGAACTCTGGGGTGGTCATGGTGGTCAATGAGGTGGTCGTGGAAGCTCCTGAGGTGGTCATGGTGGATTCTGAGGTGGTTGGGGTGGTCTTAGGAGAGGTCGTGGTGATCCCTGAGGTCGTGGGTGTCCCTGAGGTGGTCATGGTGGTCCCTGATGTGGTCGTGGAGGTTGCTGAGGTTGTGGAGGTCACTGAGGTGGTGGTGATGGACTCTGAGGTGGTCCTTGAGGTGGTTGTGGAGGTCCATGAGGTCGTGGAGGTCACTGAGGTGGTTGGGGTGGTCCCTGAGGTGGTTATGGATGTCACAGGGGTGGTCATGGTGGTCCCTGAGGTGGTCGTGGAAGTTCCTGAGGTGGTCATGGTGGATTCTGAGGTGGTTGGGGTGGTCTTAGGGGAGGTCGTGGTGGTCCCTGAGGTCGTGGAGGTCTCTGAGATGGTTGGAGTGGACTCTGGGGTGGTCTTGGTGGTCCCTGGAATGGTAGTGGTGGTCCCTGAGGTTGTGATGACCTCTGGGGTGGTCGTGGGTGTCCCTGAGGTGGTCATGGTGGTCCATGAGGTGGTTGTGGAGGTTCCTGAGGTCGTGGAGGTCTCTGAGATGGTTGGAGTGGCCACTGGGGTGGTCATGGTGGTCCCTGGGAAGGTGGTGGTGGTCTCTGCGGTGGTCGTGAAGGTTCCTGAGGTTGTTGAGGTCAATGAGGTGGTTGAGGTGGACTCTGGAGTGCTCGTGGTGGTCCCTGGGATGGTGGTGGTGGTCCCAGAGGAGGTTGGTGTGGTCTCTGATGTGGTCGTGGAGGTCACTGAGGTGGTTGAAGTGAACTCTGGGGTGGTCATGGTGGTCAATGAGGTGGTCGTGGAAGCTCCTGAGGTGGTCATGGTGGATTCTGAGGTGGTTGGGGTGGTCTTAGGAGAGGTCGTGGTGATCCCTGAGGTCGTGGGTGTCCCTGAGGTGGTCATGGTGGTCCCTGATGTGGTCGTGGAGGTTGCTGAGGTTGTGGAGGTCACTGAGGTGGTGGTGATGGACTCTGAGGTGGTCCTTGAGGTGGTTGTGGAGGTCCATGAGGTCGTGGAGGTCACTGAGGTGGTTGGGGTGGTCCCTGAGGTGGTTATGGATGTCACAGGGGTGGTCATGGTGGTCCCTGAGGTGGTCGTGGAAGTTCCTGAGGTGGTCATGGTGGATTCTGAGGTGGTTGGGGTGGTCTTAGGGGAGGTCGTGGTGGTCCCTGAGGTCGTGGAGGTCTCTGAGATGGTTGGAGTGGACTCTGGGGTGGTCTTGGTGGTCCCTGGAATGGTAGTGGTGGTCCCTGAGGTTGTGATGACCTCTGGGGTGGTCGTGGGTGTCCCTGAGGTGGTCATGGTGGTCCATGAGGTGGTTGTGGAGGTGTGGTGGTCCCTGGAATGGTCGTGGTGGTCCCTGAGGTGGTCGTGGAGGTTGCTGAGGTGGTTGGTGTCACCTCTGGGCTGGTTGTGGAGGTTCCTGAGGTTGTGGAGGTGGCTGAGGTGGTTGGAGTGGCCTCTGGGGTGGTTGTGGTGGTCCCTGATGTCGTGGAGGTCACTGAGGTGGTTGGGGTGGTCCCTGAGGTGGTTATGGATGTCACAGGGGTGGTCATGGTGGTCCCTGAGGTGGTCGTGGAAGTTCCTGAGGTGGTCATGGTGGATTCTGAGGTGGTTGGGGTGGTCTTAGGGGAGGTCGTGGTGGTCCCTGAGGTCGTGGAGGTCTCTGAGATGGTTGGAGTGGACTCTGGGGTGGTCTTGGTGGTCCCTGGAATGGTAGTGGTGGTCCCTGAGGTTGTGATGACCTCTGGGGTGGTCGTGGGTGTCCCTGAGGTGGTCATGGTGGTCCATGAGGTGGTTGTGGAGGTTCCTGAGGTCGTGGAGGTCTCTGAGATGGTTGGAGTGGCCACTGGGGTGGTCATGGTGGTCCCTGGGAAGGTGGTGGTGGTCTCTGCGGTGGTCGTGAAGGTTCCTGAGGTTGTTGAGGTCAATGAGGTGGTTGAGGTGGACTCTGGAGTGCTCGTGGTGGTCCCTGGGATGGTGGTGGTGGTCCCAGAGGAGGTTGGTGTGGTCTCTGATGTGGTCGTGGAGGTCACTGAGGTGGTTGAAGTGAACTCTGGGGTGGTCATGGTGGTCAATGAGGTGGTCGTGGAAGCTCCTGAGGTGGTCATGGTGGATTCTGAGGTGGTTGGGGTGGTCTTAGGAGAGGTCGTGGTGATCCCTGAGGTCGTGGGTGTCCCTGAGGTGGTCATGGTGGTCCCTGATGTGGTCGTGGAGGTTGCTGAGGTTGTGGAGGTCACTGAGGTGGTGGTGATGGACTCTGAGGTGGTCCTTGAGGTGGTTGTGGAGGTCCATGAGGTCGTGGAGGTCACTGAGGTGGTTGGAGTGGACTCTGGGGTGGTCATGGTGGTCCCTGAGGTCGTGGTGGCCCCTGAGGTGGTTGGTGTCATCTCTGGGGTGGTTGTGGAGATCCCTGATGTGGTGGTAGAAGGTCCTGAGGTGGTCGTGGAGGGCCCTGAGGTCGTGGAGGTCCCTGGGATGGTGGTGGTGGTCCCTGAGGTCGGGGTGATCTCTGCTGTGGTCGTGGAGGTCCCTGAGGTGGTTGGAGTGGACACTGGGGTGGTCGTGGGTGTCCATGAGGTGGTCCTGGAGGTTGCTGAGGTGGTTGGTGTCATCTCGGGGGTGGTTGTGGAGATCCCTGATGTGGTGGTAGAAGGTCCTGAGGTGGTCGTGGAGGGCCCTGAGGTCGTGGAGGTCCCTGGGATGGGGGTGGTGGTCCCTGAGGTGGTCATGGTGGTCCATGTGGTGGTCGTGGAGGTTCCTGAGGTCGTAGCTGGAGTGGACTCTGGGGTGGTTATGGTGGTCCATGAGGTGGTCGTGGAAGTTCCTGAGGTGGTCATGGTGGATTCTGAGGGCGTTGGGGTGGTCTTAGGGGAGGTCATGGTGGTCCCTGAGCTCGTGGAGGTCACTGAGGTGGTTGGGATGATCTCTGATGAGGTCGTGGTGGTCCCTGATGTGGTTGGAGTGGACACTGGGGTGGTCGTGGGTGTCCATGAGGTGGTCGTGGAGGTTGCTGAGGTGGTTGGTGTCATCTCTGGGGTGGTTGTGGAGATCCCTGAGGTGGTTGTGGAGGTCTGTGAGGTCGTGGAGGTCTCTGAGGTGGTGGTGGTGGACTCTGAGGTGGTTGTGGTGGTCCCTGCCATCGTGGAGGTCTCTGGGGTAGCCATGGAGGTCACTGAGGTGGTGATGGGGGTCCATGAGGTGGTCGCGGAGGTTGCTGAGGTGTATGGTGTCATCTCTGGGCTCTTTGTGGAGGCCACTGAGGTGGTCGTGGGTGTCCCTGAAGTGGTCATAGTGGTCCCTGATGTGGTCATGGAGGTTCCTGAGGTCGTAGCTGGAGTGGACTCTGGGGTGGTCATGGTGGTCCCTGAGGTGGTCGTGGAAGTTCCTGAGGTGGTCATGGTGGATTCTGAGGGGGTTGGAGTGGTCTTAGGGGCGGTCGTGGTGGTCCCCGAGGTCGTGGTGGTCCCTGAGGTTGTGGAGGTCTCTGGGGTGGTCGTGATGGTCCCTGAAGTAGCCGGAGTGGCCTCTGGGGTGGTTGTGGGTATCCCTGAGGTGGTTGGAGTGGACTCTGGGGTGGTCATGGTGGTCCATGAGGTGGTCGTGGAGGTTGCTGAGGTGGTTGGTGTCATCTCTGGGCTCGCTGTGGAGGTCCCTGATGTGGTCGTGGAGGTCTCAGAGGTCGTGGAGGTCACTGAGGTGGTGGTGGTGGACTCTGGGGTGGTTGTGGTGGTCCATGAGGTGGTCTTGGAGGTTGCTGAGGTGGATGGTGTCATCTCTGGGCTTGTTGTGGAGGTCACTGAGGTGGTCGTGGGTGTCCCTGAAGTGGTCATAGTGGTCCCTGATGTGGTCGTGGAGGTTCCTGAGGTCGTAGCTGGAGTGGACTCTGGGGTGGTTATGGTGCTCCCTGAGGTGGTCATGGTGGACCCTGAGGAGGTCGTGGTGGTCCCTGAGGTGGTCGTGGAAGCTCCTGAGGTGGTCATGGTGGATTCTGAGGGGGTTGGAGTGGTCTTAGGGGCGGTCGTGGTGGTCAATGAGGTGGTCGTGGAGGTTGCTGAGGTGGTTGGTGTCATCTCTGGGGTGGTTGTGGAGATCCCTGATGTGGTCGAAGAAGGTCCTGAGGTGGTCGTGGAGGGCCCTGAGGTTGTGGAGGTCCCTGGGATGGTGGTGGTGATCCCTGAGGTGGTTGGAGTGGCCACTGGGGTGGTCGTGGGGGTCCCTGAGGTTGTGAAGGTCCCTGGGAAGGTGGTGGTGGTCCCTGAGGAGGTAGGGCTGGTCATGGAGGTCCCTGAGGTTGTGGAGGTCACTGAGGTGGTTGGGGTGGTCCCTGAGGTGGTTGGAGTGGTCTCTGGGGAAGTCGTGGGTATCCCTGAGGTCGTGGTGGTCTCTGGGGCGGTCATGGTGGTCCATGCGGTGGTCATGGAGGTTGCAGAGGTGGTTGGTGTCATCTCTGGGCTCGTTGTGGAGGTCCCTGAGGTTGTGGAGGTCACTGAGGTGGTCGTGGAAGTTCCTGAGGTGGTCATGGTGGATTCTGAGGGGATTGGGGTGGTCTTAGGGGCGGTCGTGGTGGTCCCTGAGGTGGTTGGTGTCATCTCTGGGGTGGTTGTGGAGATCCCTGATGTGGTCGAAGAAGGTCCTGAGGTGGTCGTGGAGGGCCCTGAGGTGGTCCCTGAGGAGGTTGGTGTGGTCTCTGCTGTGGTCGTGGTGGTCCCCAAGGTGGTTGGAGTGGACACTGGGGTGGTCGTGGGGGTCCATGAGGTTGTCGTAGATGTTGCTGAGGTGGTCGGTGTCATCTCTGGGCTGGTCGTGGAGGTCACTGAGGTTGTGGAGGTCACTGAGGTGGTTGAGGTGATACCTGAGGTGGTTGTGGATGTCACAGGGGTGGTCATGGTGGACTCTGACTCTGAGGTGGTTGTGGGTATCCCTGAGGTGGTCATGGTGGTCCATGAGGTGGTTGGAGTCATCTCTGCGCTGGTCGTGGTGATCCTGTCAGTGCTGGTGGCCCCTGAGGTGGTCGTGGACGTCCCTGGGATGGTCGTGGTGGTCCCTGAGGAGGTTGGAGTGGACACTGGGGTGGTCGTGGGTATCCCTGAGGTGGTCATGGTGGTCCATGAGGTGGTCGTGGAGGTTGCTGAGGTGGTCGGTGTCATCTCTGGGGTGGTTGTGGAGGTTCCTGAGGTTGTGGAGGTCACTGACGTGGTGGTGGTGGACTCTGAGGTGGTTGGAGTGGCCTTAGGGGTGGTCATGGTGGTCCCTGATGTGGTCGTGGAGATTCCTGAGGTGGTGGAGGTCACTGAGGTGGTGGTGATGGACTCTGACGTGGTCCCTGAGGTGGTTGTGGAGATCCGTAGACGGGGTCGTGGTGGACTCTGAGGTTGTCATAGTGGTCTCTGGGGTGTTTGTGGTGGTCCCTGGGAAGGTGGTGGTGGACCCTGAGGAGGTTGGGGTGGTCTCTGATGTGGTCGTGGTGGTCCCTGAGATGGTCGTGGAGGTGACAGAGGTGGTCCAGGTCCCTGAGGTGCTCGTGGTGGTCTCTGGGATGGTGGTGGAGGTCTCTGGGGTGGTCGTGGTAGTCCCTGAGGTGGTGGAGAAGGTTCCTGGGGTCATGGTGGTCCCTGAGGAGGTTGGGGTGGTCTCTGAGGTGGTCGTGGAGGTGCCAAAGGTGGTCGTGGTGGACTCTGAGGTGGTCCCTGATGTGGTTGTGGAGGTCTCTGAGGTCGTTGTGGTCCCTGAGGTGGTCGTAATGGTCTCTGGGGTGCTTGTGGTGGTCCCTGAGGACATGGTGGACACTGAGGTGCTCGTGGTGGTCCCTGGGATGGTGGAGGTGGTCCCTGAGGAGGTTGGGGCGGTCTCTGATGTGGTCGTGGAGGTGACAGACGTGGTCTCTGAGGTTGTCGAGGTCCCTGAGGTGGTCGTGGTGGTCTCTGCGATGGTGGTGGGGGTCTCTGGAGTGGTTGTGGTGGTCACTGGCGTGGCTGGAGTGGCCTCCGGGGTGGTCGTGGTGGACCCTGAGGAGGCCGTGGTGGTCTCTGGGAGGGTCGTGGTGGTCATTGGCGTGGTGGAGCTGATTCCTGAGGTGGCTGTGGAGGTCTCTGGGGTGTTTGTGGTGGTCCCTGAGGTCGTGGTGGACACTGAGGTGGTTGGAGTGGCCTCTGGGGTGGTCGTGGAGGTCCCTGGGATGGTGGAGATGGTCCCTGAGGAGGTTGGGGCGGTCTCTGATGTGGTCGTGATGGTCACTGAGGAGGCCGTGGAGGTGCTCGAGGTGGTCGAGGTCCCTGAGGTGGTGGTGGTGGTAGTGGTCTCTGAGGTATCCCCTGAGGGGGTTGTGGTGGTCTCTGGGATGGTCATGGTGGTCCCAGAGGTCGTGGTGGCCTCTGGGGTGCTCGTGGGTGTCCCTGAGGTGGTCGTGGAGGTCCCTGGGATGGTTGTGGTGGTCTCTAGGACAGTTGTGGTGGACCCTGAGGAGGTCGTGGTGGCCTCTGGGGTGCTCGTGGGTGTCCCTGAGGTGGTCGTGGAGGTCCCTGGGATGGTTGTGGTGGTCTCTAGGACAGTTGTGGTGGACCCTGAGGAGGTCGTGGTGGCATTGTGGTGGTCCCTGATGTGGTCGTGGAGGTGACAGAGGTGCCCGAGGTGGTCTCTGAGGTTGTCGAGGTCCCCGAGGTGGTCGTGGTGGTCTCTGGGATGGTCGAGGTAGTCCCTGAGATGGTCGAGGTGGTCCCTGGCATGGTGGTGGTGGTCCCAGAGGAGGTTGTGGAGGTCTCTGAGGTGGTTGGGGTGGCCTCTGGGGTGGTCGTAGAGGTCCTTGGGAAGGTGGTGGTGGACCCTGAGGAGGTTGGGGGGGTCTCTGATGTGGTTGTGTCCCTGAGGTGGTGGTGGTGGTCCCTGCGATGGTGGTGGGGGTCTCTGGAGTGGTTGTGGTGGTCACTGAGGTCGTGGTGGTCTCTGGGATGGTGGAGATGGTCCCTGAGGAGGTCGTGGAGGTGACAGAAGTGGTCTCTGAGGTTGTCGAGGTCCCTGAGGTGGTGGTCTCTGGGATGGTAGTGGAGATCTCTGGAGTGGTTGTGGAGGTCCCTGAGGTGGTCGTGGTGGTCCCTGGCATGGTTGTGGTGGTCCCAGAGGAGGTTGGGGTGGTCTCTGAGGTGGTCGTGGAGGTGCCAAAGGTGGTCATGGTGGTCCCTGATGTGGTTGTGGTGGTCTCTGAGGTCGTGGTGTCCCCTGAGGTGGTCGTAATCGTCTCTGGGGTGGTTTTGGAGATCCCTGAGGTTCTGGTGGCCTCTGGGGTGGTCGTGGTAGTCCCTGAGGTGGTGGAGAAGGTTCCTGGGGTCATGGTGGTCCCTGAGGAGGTTGGGGTGGTCTCTGATATGATCGTGGAGGTGACAGACGTGGTCTCTGAGGTTGTGGAGGTCCCTGAGGTGGTGGTGGTGGTCTCTGCGATGGTGGTGGGGGTCTCTGGAGTGGTTGTGGTGGTCACTGAGGTCGTGGTGGTCTCTGGGATGGTGGAGATGGTCCCTGAGGAGGTCGTGGAGGTCGATGAGGAGGTCGTGGAGGTCTCTGGGGTGGGCGTGGTAGTCCCTGAGGTGGTGGAGAAGGTTCCTGGGGTCATGGTGGTCCCTGAGGAGGTTGGGGTGCCCTCTGAGGAAGTCGTGGAGGTCTCTCGGGTGGTTGTGGAGGTCGATGAGGAGGTCGTGGAGGTCTCTGGGGTGGGCGTGGAGGTGTCTGGGATGAATGTGGTGGTCCCTGAAGACGCTGGGGTGGCCCCTGAGGTGGTTGTGGAGGTCCCTGAGGTCGTGGTGGTCTCTAGGACGGTTGTGGTGGACCCTGAGGAGGTCGTGGTGGCCTCTGGGGTGCTCGTGGGGGTCCCTGAGGTGGTCGTGGAGGTCCCAGTGGCGGGTGGAGTGACCCCTGGGGTGGTCGTGGAGGTCTCTGGGGTGGTCGTGGTAGTCCCTGAGGTGGTGGAGAAGGTTCCTGGGGTCATGGTGGTCCCTGAGGAGGTTGGGGTGGTCCCTGATGTTGGGCTGGTCCCTGAGGTGCTCGTGGAGGTCTCTGGGATGAATGTGGTGGTCCCTGAGGAGGCTGGGGTGTCCCCTGAGGTGGTCGTGGAGGTCTCTGGGGTGGTCATGGTGGTCCATGAGGTGGTTGGTGTCATCTCTGGGGCGGTCGTGCTGGTCACCTCAGTGCCGGTGGTCCCCGAGCTGGTCGTGGAGGACCCTGAGGTGCTCGTGGTGGTCCCTGAGGAGGTTGGGGTGGTCTCTGTTGTGCTTGGGGTGGTCCTTATGGTGCTCGGGGTGGTCCATGAGGAGGTCAGGGTGGTCCCTGGGGTGGTTGTGGAGCTCCCTGTGGTGCTCGGGGTGGTCTCTGAGGTGCTCAGGGTGGTCTCTGAGGAGGTCAGGGTGGTCTCTGAGGGGGTCAGGGTGGTCTCTGTGATGCTCGTGGTGGTCTCTGAGGTGCTCAGGGTGGTCTCTGAGGAGGTCAGGGTGGTCTCTGAGGGGCTCAGGGTGGTCCCTGTGATGCTCGTGGTGGTCTCTGAGGTGCTCGTGGTGGTCTCTGAGGTGCTCAGGGTGGTCTCTGAGGAGGTCAGGGTGGTCTCTGAGGGGCTCAGGGTGGTCCCTGTGATGCTCGTGGTGGTTTCTGAGGTGGTTGTGGTGGTCTCTGAGGTGGTCGAGGAGGTCACTGGGGTCGTCATTGTGGTCCCTGAGGTTGTGGTGGACACTGAGGAGGTCAGGAAGGTCCTTGGGGTGGTGGTGGTGATCCCAGAGGAGGTCGGGGTGGTCTCTGATGTGGTCGTGAAAGTCTCTGGGATGCTCGTGGTGGTCCCTGAGGTCGTGAAGGTCCCAGTGCTGGGTGGAGTGGACCCGGGGCTGGTTGTGGACGTCCCTGAGCTGGTCGTGGTGGTCCCTGTGGTCGTCGTGGTCTCTGAGGAGGTCATGGTGGTCTCTGAGGGGCTCAGGGTGGTCCCTGGGGTCTTCACGGTCTCTGCTGAGGTCACTTGTGCTGGGGTTGTCCCCACCACGGCGGCTGCAGGGGAGGGTCCAGGGTGAGCAGAGACCCCCAAGGCCCCCCCAGGGAGGAGCCCCTGACCTCCCTCCTCCTCCTCCTCCTCCTCCTGGCCCTTGACCCGTCCAACGTTCCCCCCTCTCCTCCACCCGCCCTCATCTTCACCCTCCTCTTCCTCCTCCTTCTCCAAGACCTTCATCCAAGGTTTCTTCTTGTCCCCTTCCAACCTCCTCCATCATCCCCACCTTCTTCCTCCTCCTCCTCCTCCTCCCAGACCATCCCCAACCTCCATGGGGACCCTCCCCAACCTCCTGCCATCTTCTCCACCTTCCTCCTCCTCCTCCTCCTCTTCCAAGACCTTCATCTCTTGTTGACGTCCTTCATCCTCCCCCTGCTCTTCTTCACCTTCCTCCTCATCTTCTCCACCTTCCTTCACCCTCCTCTTCTTCCCAGACCTTCATCCCAGCCTCGGCACTGACCAATCCAGCCTCACCTGGTTGTCTCCACCTTCATCTTCCTCTTCCTCCTCCTCCTCCCCCCCTTCATCCCCCTCCAGCCTCTCCCCATCGTCTCCACCTTTCACCGCTTCCACTTCCTCCTCATCGTCCTCTTCCTCCTCATCGTCCTCTTCCTCCTCATCGTCCTCTTCTTCCTCCTCCAAGCCCTTCAGACCACGGACCTCTCCAACCCTTCCAACCCCAACCCCAGTTCCTCCTGCTCTTCATCATCATCCTCCTCTTCTTCATCCCACTCCAACCTCTCTCCATTGTCTACGTCCACCTCCTCCTCCTCCTCCTCTTCTTCCTCCTCCTCCTCCCCCAAAACCT